GTCCCTGATCTATCACTGATCTATCACTGATCAGTCACTGATCGGTCACTGATCTATCACTGATCGGTCCCTGATCAGTCACTGATCGGTCACTGATCGGTCCCTGATCTATCACTGATCGGTCACTGATCTATCACTGATCGGTCACTGATCGGTCACTGATCAGTCACTGATCGGTCCCTGATCTATCACTGATCGGTCACTGATCTATCACTGATCGGTCACTGATCGGTCACTGATCAGTCACTGATCGGTCCCTGATCGGTCCCGGCGCGCTGAGGGGGCCGGGGCGCGCGGGCTCCATGGCAACGCGCTCCGCGTCACGTGGGCACCGCGCGCCGCTTCCGGTCGCCCTCTCACCCCAAGATGGCGGCGCCCGTGGGGCCGGTGAAGTTTTGGAAGCCGGGTGAGGGGTGTGGGGGTGCGCGGTGTGGGGGTGCGGGGGATGGAGCCCCGCCGGGGGGAGTGCAGCCCCGCCGCGGGGAGTGCAGCCCTGCTGCCCGTGGTGAGGGGTGTGGGGGACAGAGCTCCGACCTGCCTGGTCGTGGTGAGGGGTGCGGCGAAAGCCGGCGGCGCTGCCCCCCTCGGCTCTTTGGGGTCGCTGGAGCATTTACGGAGAAGGGCAACAAGGCTCTGAAAGGATTCGAGAACGTGTCTTGTGAGGAGCGGCGGGGGGAGCGGGGTTTGCTTTGTCTCTGGGAGAGGAGGCTCAGGGGTGACCTCTTCGCTCCCTCCAGTCCCTGCCGGGAGGCTGAACTGAGCTGGGAGCCGGGCTCTTCTGCGGTGTCTGCCGTGAGAGAACCGGGGGAACGGCTCTTCAACCGAGACACGGGAGATTCCCTTTAGCTGTTATAATTTTTTATTTCACTGTTCGGGTGGTCAGGCATAATTTGCCCGGGGAGGTGGAGTCACCATCCCTGAGGGTTTTCCAGAGGCGTCTGAATCTGGTGCTGGGCGATGTGGTTTAGGGATTACAGTGGTGGTGCAGGGTTGATGCTTGGACTGGATGGTCTTGAAGGTCTTTTCCAACCTTGATGATCCAGCGAGGACAGTGGGGAAATGGCTGTCCCCTCACTGCCAAAGGCAGGGGGTGTTGGTGGCTCCAGCTGGGTGCTGCCCAGTATGGGGTGGGTGGGTTGTGGGGTGGGTGTGTCGCTCTTTGCAGGGGTCTTGAGGGGATGTGGAGTGTGCAGGGAAATCCTGAGGAGTTCTGATGGAGGAGCAAAATCTGAGCTATGGATGGGAATAACTGTGGTTAACACCAGAGAGAGCAGCTCAGTGGAGAAGCATCTTGGAAACAGTCACAGTAGTTGTTGATTTGTGGTAGAACTGCTTGTTAACCTTTTAACAGTGGGAGAAATGCAAGCAAGGAAATCCTACAAAACAGGGGAATCCTCCTCTTTGGTCTCAGACTTTCCCAGCTGAATCTGCAGCTGGATATGGCACATTCTGTTACCGAGATGAGTTTGTGTTTCTAGTTCACTTACGTGATTCCACAGTTTCAGTTGTCAGTAGTTTTGTGATAATTTGCAGCAGCAATAAATCAAGTTTCAGTTCCTGAGGTAAGTTCAGAGCCGAAGTGAGGGTTATATCCTTTGTTTATTGTTAGGTAATGTTTCAATTGCTTTCACAGGGAACTTGTTTGGTTTTTTTTTTAATATGCTGCCACCCATGATTCCTATTTGTATGAAACATTTTTATTGTATTGTGATACACCGGGCAGAAATGTACTGTTGCAGTTAAGATTCACTCCTGTTGTGTAGGCTCGGAAGGTCCTGGTGTCAGTGTCTCAGAGGAGAGGCAGAGCCCTGCTGAAAGCAGCGCTGTGACCGTCATCTACAACCCTTATGCTTCCCTCTCCATTGAACAACAAAGGCAAAAGCTGCCTGTTTTTAAGGTACAGAAGTTCTTTTTGACACATTAAATCTGTTGTATGATGTCTAGTTCTTGTGTCTTTTTTTTTTTTTT